ACCTTTTTTGTTTTCTTTCCCAAGTTAATTACTATTATTCCCAGTGGATCACGGAACGGATGTGACACTGATCAGGACTGACTCTACACTTGATCTTAGTCCTTAGGGACATCTGTGCAAATTGGAGCGATACAGGGAAAGAAGATTAGCAAATGGCCCCTGCGCCAAGGATGACACGCATCAATCGAGAGAAATGGTCCCCCCCCCCCCCCCCCCAAAAAAAAAAAAAAAAAAAAAAAAAAACGTTGATCTTAGCCAAAAGCCCGCGAAAGGTACTCTCACCTAACCTTTTCCCGCGTAGCGCACCCTACTTATCACCACCACTACCCCAGTTCTCTCTCCGCTCGACGCGAAGTCGCTGACGTGGACTCCGTTGCTGACGTTGACTTTGCTGCTGACGTGACATTCCTTGCTGACGTGGAATTCCTCGCTGACCGGGGTTACTATAGGATGGCGATTGCGATGTCTCTCGAAGAGAAGAGAGGTGATAACGAGGTCGGGATCCCGACACGTGCATAGAACCAGGCCGCCTGCGACCGACGCGCCGTGCAGGAGAGACAAGTGTTTGCAGGGGGTGAGGCGTCAGCAAATATAAAAACGCGAATTTCCGCTTGTTGGGTTTGTTGCGCTCTTACCGTCTCCACGCGGGCGCAAGCCTTGCGCCCGTACCTGACTAGCTGGGATGACCAGGGTGGGGTGGGGGGGGCCGGGGGTTGGGGGAGGGGGGGGGGTTGAGGAGTCCACACCCCTCAAACGGCAGACTCACTCACATGCTGGCGCTTTGGACTGCATGTGGCTGTAATTCACGACGAGATGCATCCAACAAACTCCCTGGTGTGTAAGTCCGCCCGCGCTACAAATGACAGGCCGAGGAGTGACCTCGCGTCCCGGTCACTATTGATACGTGTCTCGCCGAACCTGGGCCGAGGTCAACAAGGATTGGATTGATCGCCTGAATCTAGAGGCCCTCGTGGACAGGTGCAGAAATTCGAGATTGAACTGCTTTTCTGCATCTCTGCCTAAAACACGTCCAGATTCAGAAGCTGAATCCAATCCTCCTCGCTGGTGGGACCTCGCCCCTGGTTGTAACTGGAGAAAGAAGGGCCTCGCTCACTACTCTGCACATGCACAAAAGACAAAAACTACGGCGGTGCATCTTCCCATGCTCTTAGGGAAGATTCATTCTGATTTTGCATTTTTGTTGAGTAGTGGAGGGAGGCCCAAATGCATCCAGCGAAGTTACCCGGTGCAAGAGTGACTACACGCCTCAAAAAATGACAGGCCCTTGACACGCATAAATCGAGAATAAAAAAATAAAAAAAATAAAAAAAATAAAAAAAATAAAAATGGTCCAAATTTTTCTTTTTATTTTAAAAAATTAAAAAATGACAGGCTGCGGAGTAACCTCCCAGCGAAGAAAGAGGTGACGTCGGATCTCAAACCGGACGGCTGGGAAATGTCGCCCAAGACAGACTGGGAGTGCGGGCATGTGCGTTCAGCTGGTAGTTCACAGCCCGTCACCGGTGCCTTTTATACCCCTGAATCAAATTTCTGTCCTTTGGTCGAACCCAGGGGTGCCTTTTGTACCCCTGAATCAAATTTCCGTCCTTTGGTAGAACCTAGGGGTGCCTTTTATACCCCTGAATCAAATTTCCATTCTTTGGTCGAACCCAGGGGTGCCTTTTATACCCCTGAATCAAATTTTCGTCCTTTCGTCGAACCCGGTCGTCCGTTCAGGTCCAAAGGGTGGTGAATTTGCTGGGGGGGGAATTCACGGGGAACGGGCAGTTGGTGCTTGCAGCGGCCCTGTAACTTCCCATAGGAGGCCCAGTAGGCAGCGGTCCCATAGGAGGCCCAGTAGGCAGCGGTCCCATAGGAGGCCCAGTAGGCAGCGGTCCTCGTGTTGGACATTTCAAAATCGGAACGGCGTGGGTCCACTTTCTCAAATAGAAGTCCACTTCAAATAGCCGCGTACGAATTGTATTCAAATACAACGCGTATTCGCAAACTGTGAGGGGTGCCTTTTATACCCCTGAATCAAATTTTCATCGTTTGGTCAGTCGGGTCCAAAGGGTGGTGACTTTGATGGCGGAGCAATTCATGGGGAACGGGCAGTTGTTGCTTGCGGAGGCCCTGTAGCTTCCCGTAGGAGGCCCAGGAGGCCACGGTCCTCGTGTTGAACATTTCGAAATGGGAACGGGGTGGGTCCACTTTCTCAAATAGAAGTGCACTTCAAATAGACCGCGTACGAATTGTAGTTGAATACAATGTGTATTCGCAGCCTGTCAGGGGTGCATTTTATACCCCTGAATCAAATTTCCGTCATTTGGTCAGTCGGGTCCAAAGGCTGGTGAATTTGTTGGGTGGGCAATTCATGGGAAACGAGCAGTTGTTGCTTGTAGACCGGTAGTCGCCCGTAATAGGTCGAGGAGGTCACGGGACTCGAGTTGAACATTTCAAAATCGAAACGGTGTGGGTCCACTTTTTCGAACAGAACTGCTCTGCGAATAGACAGCGTATGAGTTCCATTCGAATACAAGGCGTGTGTTTTCTATTCAAATTTTGAAAAGAAAGAACTCTTGTATTCGAATAGAGCATTACCTTTTCATTCCGGT